GGAAAGCTGACGTTTCGGGCCTAGACTGAAACGTCAGCCTTCCTGCTCCTCTGATGCTGCTTGGCCTGCTGTGTTCATCCAACTCTACACGTTCTGAGTCCAGTCTTTTTCCAAATAAACCAGTTTCAAGGACGAGTCAAATCAGACTCAAAGTGTTAATATTGTTTTTCTCTCCACAGATGCTACCAGACCTGCAGCATTTCTCCAGCAATTTTGGTGTTGATTTCAGATTTCCAGGATTTGCAGAATTTTGCTATTATTCACTGGGGAAATCTTCTCTGCTCTTCAAGTAGTACCAGCAGATCCTTTGGATGTCAGTTCAGACTTGACAATATCTAGAGCGCAATATAATTCTACCTCTGTAAGTACGTGCCACTCTGAGTTGTCTTACAACACATAACGTTACTGTTTCTATTTACACTGCACATTTACATCACGTCATACATTCTCTGGTATTTACAGCCCGGGCTGCTTTATGCAGTTTATTTCCATCGACAAGGTTTCAGACTGTAACCTAACCCCAATGAACCTTTGTGGTGGCTTCTCCAAGCTATTCTTTGAACCTAACCTCGTGGTGCAGGTTACAAACAGACGATAATTCCTCTATCGAGAACACGAGAGACATCACAGAGAAGATTGAGAGTTCCAGAGTGTACCCATGCAGGGAACCCCTTGCTTGGAGACAGACAGCGTTGTTAGAATTTTTGAGCCCTCCATGTGGCTGAGGAATCGCCTCCTCATTGAGTTGGCTGTTTGCAGTTTCTGATCATCTGTCAAACTGGACAAAGGTTTGGCATCAGCGAGAGAGAAAGAGAGAGCAGAAGAGACAACAAATGCAAAATGACAAATTGAAATCAGTATGAATTGAAGACTATCTAGTAATATTTATAAGGTTGATTTATTTGTATAGTATTTACCAGAATATGTTAATTTATAATTGGAGAGTATCGAAGCACTGCACATGTAACAGCCAAACAATGTCACTTGGTGGAGACCATGTGGTCACTGCAGTGATGGCTGGTCTGTACTTCTCTCTGGTCAGTTTCAGGTATTGATGAGGTTTTGGTGCTAAAGATGGCAACGGGCAAAGAGAAGGGCAGCAGAGAGGGGGATCGATTGGGCTCAGTTGAATAGTGGATGTCTCAGAGCAGGCAAGCTGCAGTGGGTATGTAGAGATGGTGCCAGAGAGAAACATCACATTACATGCTGGCACTGTGACAGCTGAGCTTCAGCAGGAAGCACTGAAAGTTATAAATGGGATTTCTGCTCAGCAGTGGGTCAGGAACCACCCTGATTAAGAACCTAGGAATTCGGAGAAAAACGAGGCCATTCGGCCCCTTAGACTTGCTCCACTGTTCAGTAGGATCCCTGGCTGATCTTCTAGCTCAATGCCTTTTTCCACACTATCCCAGTATCCAGGGATTCTACACGACTGAAAGAGAATGGATCCTGTAATTGGTCAATCGCTGTTGTTGGTAATTGAATCAATCAATGAGTAAGAACAATCACGATTATTATCACAATCTGTAATTTTCTTTTGTATATCTCAGAGAGTGGAGACAGTGACTGATGGAGAAATTGATTAATTAACGTGCAGGCCCCACTCATTGTTGTACATTAAAATATGTGTTAACTTTTGCTGATAAAGATAAATTCTCTCCCGTTACGTTTGAATTTGTTTGCAGTTCTACCAAAATGGACAATGAGTTTCTCTGTAATTTCAGTTGTTTTAAAGTTGAAGACACTGAGATGATGTATCCAGGGACAGACTGTGACATCAAACAGGCAGCCATTGCTTGTCGAGGGGTCTGTCTCTCCTATGGGAAGCTGAATGTACTCGATAACTTTAACTTGACACTACCACAGGGCCAGATGTAAGTGTCCTGTTCGATTTCAATTGGTAAAAATTGTTGTTGTCTTGCAAGTAGGTACACAAGAATTAGGAGTGGGCCCTTCAGCCCATCTAACCCAGTTCAGTAACTAACTGTGGGCTGAATCCCATGATCCTGCCTCTCCTTCTTACTCAATAATCTATCCACCTCTGCCTTAAAAATATTCAACAACCCCACCTTCACCATTCTCTGGGGCTCAAGAAGTTCATGACACTTTGAGGGAAGGAAAGTTCTTCTCATAGATAGTCGGACCAAGGCCCTTCCGAAACGTCAGCTTTCCTGCTCCTCTGATGCTGCTTGGCCTGCTGTGTTCATCAAGTTCTTCTCATCTCTGGTTTCAATGGTACAGGCTTTAATTTTAAACTATGTTCCCTGGTGTTGTCCCTCCCTCCCACAAAGGGAAACATCCTCTCAGCGTGCACCCTGGGAATTTCCCCTGAGAATTTTACATAACTACCGGCCCCCACCATTCCTCTAAACTCCAGCAGATACAGGCCCAGACTGTCCCATCTTTCCTTATAAGGTAACGTTCTTATCTCAGCAATGTGGCCAAGTGAACCGTCTCTGAATCACATTTGAGGAATTTATATCCTTTCTTTAGACACAGTGATCTGGATGTGATCTCACCAATGCTCCGTACAACCACAGCAAAACTCCCCATTTTTAAACTCTAGTCCCTCTGCGATAAACGGGAAGATTCCATTTCCCTTCCTAACCATGTTTTGTTTGTGTGCAACAGTGTGTTTGTGATTCGTGTACCAGGACATCCAGCTCCCTCTGCACTGCAGAGTAATGTAATTTCTCACCATTTAAATGGGAGCCTGACTTTCTATTCTTGTATTATAATTGTAAGTTCATTAAAACAAAAGCTTACTTTAGTTAATTTATCATCAGGTTTTGGCCTCAGAATGAATTAATGCTGTTCCTTTTATCTGGGTGTACCCTGGGCACCTTGTATCTAATCCGGGGCCATAAAACAGAATGAGCCTGAGTCAGAACCTCAGGCAGCCTTCAGTCCCCCTACATGAAACCTGTTTAAGGTGGGGGTACAACTCCTGTACTTGCCCAACTCAAATCAGGGATCACTGCTGAGTTTTGGGTGCCGCTCAGACACAGAAAATAATCACAGCCCAACTTTCATTAGCCTCTCCTGCCATAAAAATAGTCAAAATCAGATGGAATTTTTCCAGTTGTGTTTAATCTCATTTTATTCGGGTTCAGCTTATTTTCAATGGTAATAAATGGGGAGAGAGTGTTTCATTTAAATTTAATCATACAGTGAAGAGTTAAATGAAATAGCTCGCTACAGCACAGATGGTGATGAAGAGTATCATGTTTCCCAATGAGTTGGCAGCGATGTGTTGAATGTGGAAGGACTGTGACACTCATAAATCTGTCTCACACAGATATGGACTGCTAGGTCCCAGCGGCTGTGGGAAAACAACCTTTTTCCAGTGTGCTTTGGGAAGATTAAATATCTCAAAGGGGACTATTACAATCCTGGGGAAGCCTCCAGCATTCCCAGGTCACCAGGTACCAGGCAGGATTGTGGGATACATGCCTCAGGTATAAACCATCACGTTTCTGTCAATTTCAGACAAATGACTGAGACAGTGGCTGTAATAGCCAGTGATTTTAGGCACTGAAATGGAAAGTGCTCATAAAGCAGGGAAGTAAAAATCATGTGCGACTGACTTGCTCCGGTTTTCAATGAGATAACAGGGAAGTTGATCAGGGTCATGCTGTTGATGTGATTAAAATGCTAATCTTACAGACATGTATGTAAACAGAGCTAATGGAATAAAAAGGACAGTAGCAGGCTAGATCCAAAATGTTAAGTGACAGGAAACAGGAAGCAGAGGTTAATGGATGTTTCTCAGGCTGGAGACAGGTTAGTGTTGAGACCCTTGCTCTTCCTGATATAGACATTTGAGTACAGGGCACAATTGCAAAATCTGCAGATGATCCAAAACTTGAATGTATGGTAAACTGAGGAGGAGAATATAGAACTGCAGACGGACAGGACAGGTTGGTGGAGGGGCAGGCAGATGACACATGCAAGTTAATGCAGAACATTATGAATTGATTAATTTGAGAAGGATAAATGCAGAAATGTAATATAAAATGAAGGGTGCAATTCGAAAGGGTAGACAGGAGCAGAGGGACCTGGGTGTATATGTGTATGGAGCATTCACAGGGACAGGACAGGACGAGTGAGTAATTGACAAAACATACTGTGTCCTGGAGAGCTTTATTAATAGGGGCACAGACAGCAAGGACAAGGAGGTGATGCTGAACTTATGTAAGTCACCAGTTCATCCTTAGTGTTGTGACCCCGAGGGGGGAACGTATTAATTGAGCCCCACCTTGATGCAGATACCGCACTAGCTCTACCTACCAATCTACATCCTTCTCAGCAAACATCAGTAACATTTGGACATATTTACGTAGATCCCCACCAGGCTTTTGGCTACAATGGGATCTTTCTTCATCACTGTCCCTATCACTGCTCCTACCTTCGACCTTCGCCATTTTAAGTTGACTTTCCTTTTTCATTGCCTACCTTTGCAGTTCAAAAGATCTCTCTTTCTCCCTTTCTTCTGCTTTTAATCATAACTCAAACTGATTCATTTCCTTTTCATCTTCAAATTGTTTTAATACTTTTGCTGTTTGTTCTGCTGCAATTATCTTTCTTTTGCTTTTGCCTCTCTCTTTTCTTTCCTGCCAGGCCTATTCTTTCTTTACCTTTTTCCCTCTAATTCCAGCTGCTTCATTTGCAATTGAATTTTAGCAAACTCCAATGATTCTGATTGCATTCCTGGCAATTGGAAATGTAGAGCTACTGCTGCAATTATTTCCCCTTTCCTCACAGACACAGACAACTCCAACTCAACCTGTTCACCAAATCCAAAAGCTTTGCCTTGCTCACTTTCTGTAAAACTCCCAAAGTGACATCTTCCACCCCCAGGAAATTCCCAGTCACTGAAAGAGCTATTATTACACAAGGCACTCCCTGTTTAAACCAAACGAATGCAACATCCCCAAAATAAAAATCGCCAACACTCACCACTCACTGCCTTTGAGTCCAATAATCCTAAACCCAAACTGGAATTAGAGATTTTGATCTCAACAAGAGCACCCTGGCCTGGACCGTAACTCTATTTAAAGGCAATTGTAAGGTGCTGTGTTCCAGATGTTATTCAATTGGTTACACTACCCGACTTTAGTAAAACGCACTTTATTCTTAACCCCAGTTAAAATACAAACAAAAGAAAGAAGAATTGATATAACTTGACCTCTATTGGAAAATTTAACAAAATAATAGACATTTGACTACTAAAAAGTAACTGTTCCAATATAGTAACATCCCCTAAACACGTCCTTGGCAAAGGCCGTGTCAGTAAAACAGATTGTCTCACATGCAATTCTGGTAGCAGGAAGAGAACCCAAGCTTTTAGCTGTAACAGAGGGAAAGATGTAGCTTCCACAACTAGCTTCAAAACCTCAATAAATACTGAAAGCTAAAGTAAAACCCTGGTTCTATGGGAGCCTGATTCCACCAATTCATGCTGCTTCTATTGTTCCAGCTTTTTAAAAAAAACCCAAGGCCTCACAAGCTGTTTACTTTGTTGGCTTGAAGGAGACAGCTTATCATCTATGGCTCAAAACCTCTCTTCCAAAAAATCCAAGACAAAGAACACTCATAAAGCCATAGTATCATCATAAAAGTATTGGGATCCCAACTAACCAGAAACACAGAGGACAAAAACCAGAGAGTTAAGCTGTGCCTTTATACAACACGCAGTGAAGTATTGTGTCCAAGTCTAGGGGCCACACTTTTGGAAGGATGTGGGGAGAATGCTGAGATAAGAGATTACAGTTCATCAATAGCCTGGAGAAGCCAGAGTTGTTCTCTTCAGAGCAGGGGAGGTTAGCGGAGATTTGAGAGAGGTGTCTAAAACCACAGTGTAATTAAAGAGAAACCATTCCCAGTGGCTGAAGCATCAATCATCAGGGAATAGATCTGAGATGCTAGCCAGAAGAACCAGAGGTCTCAAAAGGAAATCATTTTAGTGCAAATAGATTTAGCAATAACTTCAAAAGGGAATGGGATAAATGTTGAAAGGTAAAAGGTTTGCAAGGACTTGGGGCAGGAGAGAGGATGTGGGGGTTGGATCAACTGGATAACGCTTTGTCAGGGCTGGCACACAGCTGATGGGCTGGATCATCTCCTTCCATACTGAACTTTTCAATGATTTTATGAAGTGGAGTTAAAGTTTATTATTTCTCCTGCAAGATATCAGTAATTATTGATTTGGATTTATCTCCCACAGGAATTAGCCTTATACAGTGAGTTTACTATTCGGGATACCTTCTGGTTCTTTGGTCGAATTCATGGACTGACCCACAACAACATTGAATCTCGTCTCTCATTCCTCATAAACTTTCTCGATCTTCCTGAACAGAATAAACTTGTCAAACATCTCAGGTATGCAAATTTTATAAAATGAGAAATTTACGCGAATTAAAGAGAAAGCAGCTCCAATGAAGGATTTTTCCTGTCACAATCTCAGCTCAAGCTTCTTGGACCTTCCATTCATGCACAGACCCAACACAGACTCAGTCCAATCGAGGCCCAACACGGACCCAGTCCAACCGAGGCCCAACACAGGCCCAGTCCGACCGAGGCCCAACACAGGCC